ATGCACACAGACACCCATGGTGGAGGCAGGACTGGAACCACAAACCCTGGGCGCATGATCCTAATAGCATAACTATGAGGCAATATGGTGAGCACATCTGAGTATCTAAAACATACATAAATAAAAACTTCTGTGCTAATAAAATCGGCATCTTTAAGGCACTATGAGGCAACTATGTTGGGAAGGGTCTGTTTTAATTTTACAAGCTATTTTCTGATAAATTCCACTGAAGCATCAGTACAAAAGTACTGATAGCAAAGCTGGTGCATCAGCAGTCAGTGGCTACAGAAGGAGAAGCAGGGGGAATCTACATTCAGGCAGCAATGTGGTCACTGGCGGTACCCCCCTGTCGTCAGGGAACTCCTAACACTGACAAAATGACCAGGCCTGACCTGAGCTCTGGCCAATCAGTGGCAGCGATAGGTCAGAGTCCCCCCCCCCCCCCCGCCCCATGCCACGGCGCAGTGACATTCCTGAAACTCTGGTTGAAGTCCGGAGATTTTTTACAGCTTTATCTGCTAAACCAGTTCAGGGTGCATGACTGGCAACCTATAATTGCACTCCGCATACACCTGATCTCAGAAAGCTTGCAGAAGTCAGCAGAAGAATGACCCCACGAGCTTTGGCAATTTCAGAGCGCGCCACCCAGCCCCGGAATCCACCATACGCGGTTTGATTCACTTGGGCGGCTCGCGGAGTCTCATCTCGCAGCACCTCTGAAGGTGACACTGTTTGTCTTTCTGTACAGATCTGCCCTCACCGGCAGATCCGGGCAGAACACTTTATTTAACAGTCAAACACCCAGAGTGCTTTACCCCAGTCAAAGGAGGGTGCCAGCAGCGAGCAGAGGGAGGCCCGCAGAGACTTGGCATGTTCCCGGTACGTCCGGAACGGGACCGCAGGGCAGCGTGGGTAGTGTACCGTCGCCCAGGCGATGGTCAGGGTGTGCATAAATAACATAACCGCTGACGTTTACATGCAGATATACACACCCATACATACATTAGGTGTCTTTGTGTGATCTCTCCATTCATTTCTATGGGCATAACCCTAACCCCAACAACGACAACCTTAACCCCTACCCAGCCCTAACCTTAACCATAAGTAACCAAAGAGAATACAAGACTTTTGGCATTTTTAGTTATTCCATTGCAGTCACAGATTTTTATAAAACTGAATTTTTGCTTGTGGGGACCAAAAAAAAAAAAAACATACATGGCCACACACACACATGCACTGCCTGGAAAGCAAGCCCAGTAACACCTGGAGAGAAGGTTCCAGTAAAAACCGTGCTGGTAGCCAACCCAATCTGCCGGTGAGAGGAGCAGAGCCCTGGGGAAACATGCTGTGTCATCATGGATGTTCCTCCCAAAGGCAATCAAGCTGTGCCTTTATTTACCTAGGATCTTCCGTATCTGAGGTGGTAGGAAGGGGAGGGGGGAAGGGGCTGGGGACACTTTGCCTGGGGAGTCAATCAGGGGTGGGGCCTAGCAAATGGGCCAAAGAGCACGGCTGCTAGTACACCTTCCGTTACAGATACAGGTGTGAGGGGGCAACAGGAGAACACCAGAAGCGCATTATTCAATTGAATTCAATTTTTATATAGCGCCTTTCACAACAGAGTCGTCCCAAGGCACTTTGCATGGATGTGTTGTGATACATTACAACATCATTTAGAGAGAGTAATACAGAAACAGTAAAATACATTAAGCGTAGGGCAGCGCACCCAAGGGATTCTGGGACCTTATGTTTGCCTACTTATTGTATCGAACTATATCGGTAGAGAAGAGGGTCACGCCCACAGGACTGACAGGGCCGGGCACACGCAAACACCAGCAGGCGTTGCTCCGAGAAAAAGAACAAGCAGGCCTCCGGCGTGGCCGCGGGGAGTGACGGAAGGTGACACGTCGGGCCATGGAATCAGGAAGGAGGGCACGGCTGCGAGCGCAAAGGTGAACCATGTGACCTATTCCCATCGCTGACTGAGAATCAACAACTAAACAGCTTAAAGAGAATGTGTGCCGAACATGTACCCTCCATTACCCAGCATGCCCTGCTGGCAGCCCATCCGAAGTTAGGTAAATTGAAATCAATCAATTAAATCTATAATAATTGAATCAATAATTTCAATCTATTATATTCATCATAGTCCACGGTGATTCACCTCCATTTGGCTTCACTGACCACTGCATCAACCCATAATCCTCTGCCCTGTCACCTCCTTCACCCTCAGGCTCGCAGACACAAGCAGCAAACGCAGCCGGGCCTCCACCTTTGCATTCCCTGAGACCCCCCCCCCACCCCCCATCCCCCATCCCCACTGCAACCAGCACTAAGCACTCATGGAAACATTCTCACAGGCTGCTGTGTGTTGTGGGCTTAATTCCTGATGCCTGGCAGGTGGGGCGGACAGGACGGACCGGTTTGAGCAGCCGTGGCAGGGGTGGGATAAGGCTCATGCACGCTGATCCAACCTGAAACGCAGCCTTGCGCGCAAACAAACAAATACACACACATGAAAATGTCAAAAAAGCCCTAAATCTCCATGAACCATGGCACGATGGCATACATTTTGTGAGTTATCAAGGAGGGGAAGAAACAGGCCTCGAAAGCAATTCTCACTCTAACATAACCGCCCAAGCATGTCTGTCAGCTAAAGCCACCCCAAACAGCCTGAGCCACAGTTACCAAAATCTTATCTAAGTCAGCTTAAAGTAACCGGAATGTCGACAGTTGTTTTAAAAAATGACACACAGTCTATCTATTGTTTGATGACATGAAAACAACAGAGAAAACAAACTGAAAGAGACAGTCACAGGGAACACGTTCGGTGTGTGAAATATAAAAGCCTTCCAGTCAACTGGGATCGACAGCACGTCAAGGTGCAGCCAGGCCTCAGGACGCAGAGATGCACGGTCCCTCCCCCCATGAAACCAGGTGATGTGAAAGCAAAGGGGAACCAGATATATATTAACGAAGGACTCCTTATCTCTGAGGTACAGGCCTATGTAAGAAGCTGGTTCAAGTGTTGCCATGATACCAGAAAAGGGGGAGGGGCTGGTTCCCGCACGTCCCTAATGGGGCAGGGCACACGTTCAGCCCACATCTCCATCATGAGGAGGAAGTCTGGTGTTTACGTCTCAACCCACACCACCTGACACATTCCAGTGCCCTCAGAGCCGCAGGGTCACGTGACACCAGCGGAAAAGATTCCGGGGGGCAGCGAGATGAAGTGAGAATCCGGCAACTGCTTCATCAAGGGGGAACCAGGGAGACCGACCTCCCCAAAGCCAACATTAAACTACAGCCCTGTAGCTGCTTTCAGCATGGGGCAAACCACAAACCCGCAGTGGGGGGGGCTCTTCCCAGCACCCTGATCAGTACTGCTCACAAACTCCTCTTTAATCTCTGACATGAACATGTTCAGAAACAGACTAAAGCAGGTGTAGCATGTGCTGCCCACATTCTAGCCTTTAATGTTGTTATAAGCATGTTTGTGGGATGGAACCACAAAGTGGACACACCTTTCCAAGCTCCTCTGACTCTTCAATCACCTCCCACCGGAGTAGGTTCCCCAAACCTGACTAACTTCCTGCTCTACCTGTACCCCGTCTGTTACTAATGCGTAAATAAGGGAGTCCAGACCCTGCAATGCCTGCTCCAGAAACTCTTCCTGGTATGTAAGACTGGTTAGTTATCTGCATAGTTTGGATTGCTTATATATCCATCTATACTTACCTCAATTTTGTACATGTTCCTGTCTTGTTAAATAGACACTTATAAGGTGCAGTAAAGAATTTGGTTTATAACCCATTGACGTTATGGGTGTGCCTGTACGATTGAGGGGAACACAGGGACTTGTGCAATTGTAGGTTCTAACTACACAATGCCACCTGTGATTCATTAAAATGAACTGATTCAAATCAAATAAAAAAACTTTATTTGTCCCCGAGGGACAGTAAAATATTGGATCACATTCCAAACTAAATGAACAAGCAGGATAACAATGACTTGCAGCATTAATGTATAGCTCTTGTAGCTCAACAAGTACAGCATTGTGCTAACGCAAAAGTCGTGAGTTAAAATCCCAGGAAATATTGCAACCCTTTAGTTGTAAGTCGCTATAGACAAATGCGTCAGATAAATCAGTTACTATAGATTTGCACTGAATGACCATGTAGATCCAAAGAGGCCGAATAGCTGTCGCAGTACAGAAAGTGGTCGGCCCGGCCACCTTGTCCTGTACGGTTATACAGCCACCCAGAAGCTGCCCTTCTTCTGCTAAGCTCTGAAAGTCGAAACTAGCGCGGATGCGTTTAACTCCAGGGCCCCGTTCGCTTAACCTTGACGTGATTTTTCAATGTGCGTGTCGCTCGAGGCTATAATGGAGGTTGGACTTCAATCAGCGGGGGTAATGGCAGGAATAACAAGAGCTCTTCAGACACCTTCCCTCCTTCCTCTGTGCTAGGTGAATGCGCATATATCCTGGGTGCACGCCCACACCTGCTTACCAACTTTTGTCAGCAATAAACACTTCAGCGACGACGCACGATTTCGATTACAAAATGTTCGGTTACATATGAAAATGCACAATAAGTAACATAGCCTAAGAATAATAATGATGCCCATCTTGTACATGGAAAAGGCAAATGCATTTACGGCAGATCCTGCGTGTCCGTAATATTTTGTTGGGGCCATTTTTCCATAATTGCACTCAGCTTGTTAGGTCGGTTTGTGTGGAAGGTGTGAACTTTTAAATAGCTGACAACTGATGTTACATTGTTTCATTTCGTTTAACCGCATAATGGCGAAAACAGAGTTGATCGAGTTCCTTCCTCTAAAGTCAGCCTAGAAACGCAAGTTAATGCGTAGATCAGGACGCACACTTTAAGACCGAAACCTCCAGCGCAGACTACTTTTAAACCGAATCTGACATTAAAGTCGGGGTCCCGTCCGGGAAACCTCTGTAAATGCTGGCGCTCAGTAGGTTTGGAAAGTACCTGCGTGTCCCGGACGCTGTCCTTGTCCAGCTCCCCGATGTAGTATTGCTCCATCCAGCGCCGTGCGTTCTCGGAGTGCCGATGCGGAGGTCCCTCAATCTCTTGGCTGATGTCGCTCCCCGAGCGGCGCAGGATAAGCGCCTCGCCACCCGGGTGCATTCGGAGGAATCCCGTCACATCGTAGACTCGGTTCCCTAGAAGGACCCAACAGGAGTCTTTGGTGTGATGCCGGTCCACTTCTTTCCGTGAGAACAAGCGAGGGGACACCGAAGAAGACATGGGTTCGGGTGTCCAGACTGACATATAGCAGAAGAGCACTCGTGGGATCCGCCCTGACAGACCGGCCGTCCGTGGTCTAAATCCTCTGGTTTCGTTCACGGCTTCGCTAGGCGAAACAGCCAGTGGGCTCATTAGCATGCTCATTAATTATGTATCAGGCACCTGACTTGCACTGCAAGGGGCACCGTAAGCATGCAGGATTACACAAGCACCTGTCGCTGTGATCCTTCATAGCACCCAGCAGGCCATCGGGACCCGCGATCAGCATCATTTCCATCTTTAGGAAGCCGGCCATCCTCTCCACCTGCGTCTGCCTCGAGGATTAAGCGCTGCCAGGAATCGTCTGAAAACGGCTTTTTGATTTAGAAACTCTGTAAGACATAAGGCGCAGCGGATATTATTTACTATATCGATCGAGTTTAGTCAGGAAGCAGAAACACTTCCTGTTTTTTTAGGTCAAGATGAGTTATTTGTCGTTTTCATCTGTAGGGAAAGTTGCTAAAATGTGCACAATTTCAGTTGTATTTAGTTGAATTTAGTTGAGACGTCTAACAACTGGATGGCTGATAAGGTGCGTTTTCGTTTTTGTGTGGATTATTTATATTGTACAAAAGTAAAGTAGCTAAATATACGTGCCATAGTTGTCAATAGATGCCAGATGAAACACCAACTTTTGTAACTTTATGTAAGTATGGCTCAATTTTAATTATAGGGCCTATATTAAATTAAGACATTTCAGATGTCGAGAGAAAACTGACACTTTATAGTCAGATATATAGTGGAAAGAGCATGGTTAACACGGTTCAACATTAAAAATGAAGGTCGACATTCTACTTTTTGGTTTTGATATCAATTTCCATTACACTCCTTCACAGCGTTTATCACGCATAAACCTCCATTAATTTGTTCCATTGTAAGTCCCTCACGACTTAACAGAACCTCCCACTTTTATGCTACGTGAAATATTGATGAAGTACCTGGAGTGAAGCGCTTTGTTTGGGGGTAACAAGAGTCCAAACGAATTCCCAACACATTAACCAAGAACTCATTTTAATCCCCGATTGCAGCAAGTTTAGCGGCAATCCATTCATTTGTAATCCAGAAAATAATTTCCGTACGAAATGAGGAACATCATTCTGGACCGTTCGTGTTGGGGTGATGGCAAGAGGTGTCTTTAAGAGTATCCTTCTGTGTCACTCTCCATTTCTGAGTTCCTGCCTTTCTTGTGTAGAGGGATCGCACACTTTTAGCGCCGGTCATCACCTACTCCGGTGGTGATCGTGCTATTTTAGGGACGGTTGGTGCAGTTGCGGGTATTGGAGTTTTGTGTAGTCAGACAAGAACGGTTTAAGGATTATTAACACGAAGTTTCTGAGACAGGAAATATAGGGCAAATAGACAAAAAAAACTCTAAAAGGTTGAATAATAACCGAATACATTTGTATGTAATTTTCTAACTCTTTTTCCAGAAGACCTACACAACCTAAGATTCCGAATATAGAAAATGACAATTTAATATTAAACATCAACTATCATTCACTGGTCGAATAGAGGAATAAATGCAGTACAACTCCTTCTGCACGCTCTCTATTACGGTGTATAATTCAATCAATTAATTTGATTAAACCGGCGAATTTCGAGGGGGTTCAAACTCATCATTTTAATTACTGGCTACATGCCTGGTAGGGAGCAAACAAGTTTAGGGAAGCTAGGGGATTCAAACCCGTAATTTTACTACAGTATATGGGTACGTACCTGCTTTTCTCTGACTTTAGTTCTCCCAAACATTTTTTTTCTACCACCTCCCAGCGGCTTCCCCTATCTACCCGATTATACTGCCCCCTCACACGATCGTCCCTGACCTCTTCCAGAAAGAGTGATCTCATAAGCGTAGGTGCGCGCAGTACAGCGCACTTTCTGTTCCCTAATTTAATCAAAACGTGGGTGGAAGCAGTGACATGCAATTAGTCCATGCGATTTCAGTGGCAAAAGAAGGACATTGTAAAGGCTACATCACTCTGAAATTTACAAACCAGGAATGTTTACCTAAGGTTACTCGCCTTTTTACAGATCCATGTCAGTTTCTGTGCGCTGGAACGCGATACTGATAGTGGTGCCTCCAAAAAGTTATATTTCGGGGTTGGCCACGTAGCACCGTGTCTCATCTGAGAAATATGGATTATTAATAATAAAAAGGGTGGTAAAAGGGGTGACCGCGTACGTATTTATTATTTATTGCCCATGTACATCACCGTGAGTTTGTAGCAGGTCTACAGACGGGCCATTTCCCCGTGCAGCCTGATCGACGGAGTCTGTGGATCCAGTTGTCCGTGGATCCAGTTGTCCGATGATTTTGAGCTATTGAGGCTCTGCTTCAGGTCATTTCTCACCACCTTAAGGTGTTGTTCATTTAATCGAATGATTGTTTATGTAATAGATGGCAAAGGGCATAAGGCAAGGGCCGAATCCTGGACCGTGCACCAGCCCATTGCAGGGTCTGGACTCACTTATTTACACATACAATCAATTTATAAACTGCACTTGTCGTATGTTGCATTTTTTTTGGACTGTGAGAGGATAATGGTTATTAATTAACACTATATGGTCATTATGTACAACATAATGTTAGGAGATGCGACTTAGCGGCGATTATCTTGAGATACAGGAATCATAGCAAGTAAATTAAGCTAAATAATTTATGTTAGAGTGATGTCTTCTTTTACAATGTTACATTGTAGTCGTGCGGTTGTGGTATTCACGTTCTACAAGGACTGCATTTTTATTCACCATGTGAAGTGTTCCCACACAACTGAAGCTTTCACTCTCTATTTATTTGGACCCTTGTGCTGTAATCCGTCCTATCAGTGATCGAGAAGGCATATTTTACTTAATGAAATTTTTAAAATCAAATATGGCTAATCAAGTAATCGTGACAGCTGTAATGCTATTTTATCCCTCTTCTTTAATCCTTGCTCTTAATCCCAAAACCAATACTGCAGTGAAATCTAATTAGCGCAGTAAATAATTAACATTAAGGCAGCTACTCCCACTTAAAGATACCAGAAGAGCAAAGGCGTCACTTAAGATGTAATGTTAATCTGTTTACAAGCTCAACTTTGGTCCTGTACTGTCTGTGTTTCTCATATTTCTTTGTTATCTAGAGCCTGGTGACTGCTCTGTAGACAAAAAAGGGACCAAAACGAAATTTCTCTGCAGGGAGGCTGGGCTCACTCTCCACGATTAGATGAGGATATCTGGAGATCCAGAGTTAACTTAAAATAGGGCCGTTGCTCCTTTGAATCGAGAGGAGCTACTTATGATGGTCCAGATATCTTATAAAGGAGCTTTGTGGGGTATGTCAACCACTGGGTAGAGACCCCGGGGCAGAACCAGGATTTGCTGGAGGGACTATATTTCACAGCTGGCTTGAGAACGTATAGACATCCTCCAGAATAAGAGTCAATGGTCTCGGTGAAGAAGGTCTGATCTGACTTGCTTAGCATACAGCCACCGCGACTCGCACCAGCGATGTGAAAAAGATGAGAAGCAACGAGCATTTGAGTCTTGCGCCCTCTGGTGGTGGTATGAGATTCATGTCAAATTCACTCTCTGATAGCCATCGCGCCTATCATGACAGCAATGAGATCAGTACAGTCAACCGCCAAGTAAAATGGCTGAAATGGATGAGAATGCATATATGCTAAATTACCAATGACTATAAAGCGAATGTTGACCAAATGCGTTTTCTGATATTTCTGTTTTTTTCCCCAAAAAACGTACAGATGACAAATTTTTTTGCATGATTTTTAAGTCTAGTACATATATTACACATACAACACATGCATTTAACTGTTTTAGATATAAAGTTTAATTGAAGAGTTTCAGATAGATTCAGTATTAATTCAATATTAATTTTGAACATTTAACGTTAGATAATGAGAGTTGTATAGTTCCTGGAATTGGGGGATTTCTAAAAAGATTAAAAAATGCAATTTCCAAGTTCTCTGAAACAGTTTCAGTTCTTGTTCAAATAACTTCCTATTAAAGCATTAATTAAACTGCTGTTTTTCGTAATAGCAATGACATGAAGTTAAAAGTCTATATGTTTTAATGTTCACACTCTTTCCTAAAGCAAATTCATTATATTATCCTAATTATTCTGTAAACGTCATTGCAAGTTCATTCATGGAGATACTTTCCTATTATTTCACCATAAAATATCAACACCAGCTGTCCAGACAAGATGGCGAAACTCAGGCCTTAATGATCAAATTGCTGGCAAGAAACCACTAATGAAAACAGAAGAAGAAGAAGAAGAGACCAAGAAGGAGCAGACATCTGACCAGTGGAAATCGGCCCTTTGGTCGCACTGTCTTTGTAAGATGCTGAGTAGGTGAACGGATGATCTCTGCAAGGTTGTGCTAAATGTGAAGCATGTGGGAGGAGGTGTGATAGACTGGGGCTGCTTTGCTGGTGACACTGTCGCTAATTTGTTTGGAACTGAAGGCAACATAAGATCCCTTCTGATTTGCGCTTAATTGAGCAATTATTTGTTTTTATCATGCTCAATTTTTGATGTAACTGATTTTAGGTTTATAATAGAAGAATATAGATTTGCTATAAGATTTCTTGCGTGAATGTGAAAGTCTGA